TGAGGACGTGATATTTGACGATCATGTATGACAAAATAAAAATTAATATAACATAAATATTAATAAACTTCTAAGTAAAGTTAACCAAAAGTAATGTAATTAATTACGCATCGTGTGAACACCCTACAGATTAGGTATACACACACGCACACACACACGTGTGGCGGCGTAGTGTTGTATCAGCACGCCGCCATACGCGTCCACGCTTGGAACACTTGGAACGTGTCCACGCTTTATTTATTTATACGGTAATTTGATCAAAAATTAAGTACCTATTTTTTTTACATAATTCGAATGAGAATCATGCACCGAGTATTCTCCTTAAATATTAATAGTAATTCACCAGTCACCCTGTATATAATGTTTAAAATTCATAACGAACTTTCGTAGTTTATATGTAAGGATTATCTTTAATGTATTTATTAATGCGCGAAGTCAGGATAAAATACAAGTCTATTTAAACTACATTTTTGACCCCTTCCTAAAAATTTATTTGATGTATATGGGACATTTCGCCCTTCCACACTATAAAATACATATTAATTTTTAAGTAACCGGTTGTATAATGCCGTCAATATGTAAGGAAATTTTGATACTGTCTTCTTTTTTACCTATTTTAGATACCTATCTAATGCCGTATATACCGATCTTTATGTGACTCTTATAATGTGTTTTGTATGTATGTACGTAACACCATTACATGTAAACTATCTGACCCATTTGTGGTATTACATTATATGTTGTTTATGAAGCCTTTATTGTTTGTTTTAACAATAATTTTAATGAACCAGCTTGTCCATTCATCTAAACATACAATTTTATTATCCTACATGTTTAATAACACTTCTGTTATATTAGTTACAAGTTATTGACAAATGTGTGAATGACTTATGTAATGGTAATTACCTTTAACGTTTGTGATTGAGAGAGGAGCTTGGACGGTGGAGGTGAGCGTTTAACGCGTTAGATAGAGTCCCTTAAAACTACACCTGGGTCACAAGTCCCAGTCACTGTTGAAGCTCCTCTCACTACAACGATGGACCCGACACACGCACCGTGAATACATTGAATGATGAGAGGTTTCATTTCGTCCCATAACAGCTTTATATTTAATATGTATGTATGAAGTAATACATAATTAAAACCACACTATTTAAACAAATTATATCTGTCTGTCTGTTTGTTACAGCTTATCTCTTAAATCGCTGAACCGACTTTACTAAGAGATAACTGATATTATTAGGAGTAACTTAGTTTATTATGTTTTGTTTATTTTAATTTATTCGAGTCATTTAATAATAACTATTACGTGGACATAGTCAGGGCTCACAGCTAGTATTTAATTTAATTTAATCATTTATCCTTAATGATGTTTTATTATTATAATTATAATTACTATTTCAATGTCACACATTGTTGAATGTATTCATTGAAACGGAGGTGGAATAATTTTAATATTTTCCTTTTACTATTCAATAATTATATTATGAAATTATTTATATTATTACAGAGTTGTAATGCTATAACTTGTATAAAATAACTTGTCTCTTTTAGAGATTTTGAAATACCCATTTTCTCAATAATACCAGCTCTCCCCGCTACTTTTTCCTAGTGGAATATTTAACAAAAAAATCTTTAAATCTATCTATATTTAGTAGTTAATACATGAGCTGAGTGTCAGTGAAAGTGTCGTCAAAATCAGTCCGGCCGTATCGGTGGTAACCCGGAACAAAAAGACTGACAAAAATAATAATTTTTTTTTGTACACCCCTCTATACAACCAGATGCATTGAGTATATTATTTTAATATAAATAACATATACTCCGATTTTATTTGTATTAATAAAACACAATATATCTACGATAATTTTTCAACATTTTCGATTTTCTAAATGAAACTAATATTTTTCGGATTTTTACTTCGCGTTTTTATTTTTGATTATGAATTTCATACTCCCGACGTTTCGACTAGTTTTCAGCAACCGTGATCACGGGCAGACGAAAATCTTAGATCTCATTATTTTGGATTTTCATTCACAAAATGTTTCCTTTTATAAGAATTACAAAAATAACCTTGAACCTATAGTAATCTAGACTGCGCTACACTAGGAAATAGTAAGACTAGACTAATGTTTAGTCTAGGAAAACAGCTGACAGGAAAAATAAAGATATATCATACTGGGTTCATTGAACTTAATATATGTTATGTACATAACTATCAGCTGAGTATACAAGGAACAGAATATTATGACATTTGTTATGTAAATGGAATATATTTTAAAATGCGGACATCGCCGGGAGACTACCGTTGTATGGTTAATTTCATACTGTAATTTCAAAGAACGAACATCGGGTGTAGTAACGAGAAGATTCTGAAACAAAACAAAAATGTTTTAATGGATTTTAAGGCTTAGTAGTTTTATTAATATTTTTTTATAAAAATATATATATATATGTCCACGCAGTTGGCTTGTTGTTTTGGACTATTCGTCAGTGGACCCTCACTCAAATAACTTTATAAGAAACAGTTACTATATTGGTGAAATTAAATACTCCACGATCGTATATCAGCTTGCTACATGAAAATATTTTGTTTAAAATAAATTAAGTTATTATTACCTTTATACGACGTTGTGAGGAGATTGTGATGTTTTTCGCAACTCATTATTCTGACCGCAACATGATTTAATTATTTTATTGGAAATTTTACATTCAACGTCTTCAAAGTGTGCAATATCGAACAGAATGGAGGAAAATTGTTTTACAACGGTTATTTGGATTATTTAAAAGGAATTTGGATATAAATAAAAATATATATGGAAAATATATTTAAAGCAAAATTTTGAGTATCTGAATAATACATAATATGTAAATCGAGGTAATTTTATATCATAGTTTTGCTCTGTAAATTACACAATTGGTCCAATAATATTTTGACCACACTTACATTAAACTCTTTATTCAATGATATTATTATATTATTTCGGGCAAAGTTTAAACGAGAACAAATTATTTTTATTATTTATTCAGTAAGCGGGCAGCATCTACTTTCTATTGTATCATTTAGAAAGTGATCTCGTCTTTATCGTATCCGTTATTTAAACGGATTTTAGAAAATAAGAGACCAGAAAAAAATTTACGAATAATTATTATAAGTTTACTCGTTTTTGATAAATATGCGTTAGATAGATGCCCCTTAAACTTACATCTGGGTCGCAAGTCCCAGGCACTGTTGAAGCTCTTCTCCCTGCAACGATGGACCCGACACACGCACGGTGAATACATTGAATGATGAGAAGTTTTGTCTTTTCCTCTTATACATTTAATTATAATAAAAATAAAACATTATTATCAGTCTTGTCACAGTCTAGTCACTCTTATCATATGATGGCAGGTATCAAATAGCCCAGTAACGGATGGTAACAGTAACCCAAAACACGTTACCACAACGAACAATGGATCATTCACTAAAATGTGTTTAATAACCGTCTATACTGACAGCAATTAAGGCAACATTTGTACACGGACTGTCGTTTTCACTTTAGTATGACCAAGAAAGAAATTTGTCAGATTCTGGACTATAAGTGCAAGTTTCAATGTATGATATATGTATTTCAATATATTCTTTATTAATCTTGGCTCTCGTCATAAATTCTATGTTACAATTGCAATAAATTGTAAGGAGTCCTTTTGGTAACAGTTTTATTAAGTATCTTTCTTCTTTCGTTTTTAGATTCACAACAGAAAAATAAATACAGCGTCTTGATATAAATGAAAGGCAAATAGTTAATATTTTAATAAAAATATCAAATAATTTTGTGTACATAATATATATAATATAATGTTTTTATATTTACAGTATGTTTAGGTTTTCTGTAATTTATATAACAAAGTGGAGAAAAGACGGTTATGACTATTTTAAAACATATATAGGTATAAGAAGTGCTTTTCCTTTAGAATCTCGTTTACAGAAACTTCTATAATATGAAATGTACTTGAATATTTCTAATTGATTATATTTCCAAAATTTCCAAAAAAAGTTACTCGGGTTCTGGGTTCGATTCTCGACTTAATATTCGAAAAATTCATCACAAATAAATTGATCTAAATAGATTTATTTATTCGTTGACATCGTGACTGACTCATCGAAAATTTTATAGATATAAGTATTGTATGTACAAACTAAAGTCAGTCGATCATCTTATTGAACTATAATTATCTTAACGTTTAATAAAAAAAATATTTTTTGTATGTTTAAATGATTATTTTCACTAACAAATGTAATGAATCCAAGTCTTTTTAGATTTCTCTTTGCAACTGTAAATATTGAGCTCAAAAATTTATTTAACAAGTTGATGTTAAAATGTTGTAACTGTCTACATGATTTCTCTGGTATTATTTGAGTTGTAATAATATTTGTATATTATTTAGTATTACTAAGTAAGGATTACCAATCTATTACCGCGGTAATTAGTATTACGGTGTTTTTATTAAGTAAAATAGTAAAAGAACTGACTAAAACGTCTGTACCGAATAAGATTGAGCGTACACAGACAGCGGACCCCTAATAAATTAATCTTGAGACATGTTACCCTAAGAAAAGTTTGGGGTCACCCCTCGTCTTACCCTAAGATACAATCATTGGCTTAGCAAAAGGTACGAGGGGTTTCAATACTTCCTTTTTAACTTATGAAGTACTATTTTGTTATATAAAAACGTATTTATACTACGTACTACTCGTATTATTATTACTATACTCTCGTCACCCTACATTCAACTTCAGATAGGTCAGTTTTCTAACAGAAGTCATCGCTATATAAGACTTTCTGACTGTAATATGTTTTGTTTCTTATTATTTTATGTATAATTAAAGACAAATATCTTGTTCCAGATGACTGCCTGACAGCAGAACGTCACAACATTCCGCTATCAATGAATTATAACGAAGACTGATTTTTGGTAGTTAGCGCACATTCCTGACCATGTTATAGACCATCAAAATGTTCAAGTTGCTCGGAGGCCTGAGCGTTTACTTCAAGTACCAGCCTATCAAGACTGACAACGCTGTGTTCAGACTGCACAATGTGTTCACTACGGTGTTATTGCTGACGTGTTCCTTGATCATCACAGCTACCCAGTATGTGGGGCAGCCTATACAGTGTATTGTGGGCGGAGGGCTGCCGGCTCATGTCGTCAATACATTCTGCTGGATCACTTCAACCTTCACGATGCCTGACGCCTTCGCGAGGGAGGTGAGTTCTTAGTACTTGTAAGTCATCCACTCATAATTGCAATAAAATTTGCGTGTGACAGAAAGAAATACATGTGAACTGATTCTTATGCTCGTACAGAAAATGTTGTTCTGATTAGTAGTTCCTTGTCGAACTTTACAGAGAGAGAATTAGTGTTTTATCTGTGTATACGTGATTTCATCAGTTTTCTAGAATTCTAGGTTATCGGTTAAATAGTTACGGTACAATGTCTCGTTAGGTTCTGCTAGATGATGTGGGCGCGTCCTAAATAAGTCGCTAATAAGATTTTCGATGTTTGCTGTTTCATTAGTTAGTCTGGTTGTTTGTAGTCATGTTTATTAGTAAAGCCTACATATTACAATGTTCTACTTTTAGCTACGGAAACATATCGATCTTAATGTCAGTTTTAAACTAAATTTTTATCAAACGAGAGCAAAGTTCAATCTATCGATAAAGCAATCAAGAGGCAATGATTCTATTAAAAGTTTACATTGGACTAATGTCCAAATAACGTAATTGTCAGATGTACAATGTTTCAATCAGGTTGTGGAGAAACGACGTCCCCTCCCGTCCTTGAATCACCATTCACCGATATTTCGTCATGTCAAACACAAGATATAAACTATTATCCTTTTATCCTTGAACATTATATAGTTTATATGATAAAAACTTGGAATTTAAATAGCTGTCACTAAATATATCCATATCCCTACTAATATTATAAATGCGAAAGTAACTCTGTCTGTCTGTTACGCTTTCACGCCTAAACCACTGAACTGATTTTAATGAAATTTGGTACAGACATAGAGTTGACCTTGAGAAAGAACATATGATAGTTTTTATCCCAGACTTTTGAAAGGTTCTCTTGGAAACGCGATATAACCGAACTCCACGTGGCGAAGCTGCGTGCGGAAAGCTAGTAGTACATATGTAGACCGTACAGTAAACCCAACATATCGTTCATCACAAGTCATGAAACGTCAGCTAGAGTTGGTTGACCAGCTGCTTTCCTCTCAGTGTTGGCAGTGTGCCAGCGGTTGGCTATTTCAGCGAGACCCTTTGTTGTATTGAGTATTGTGTCACCGTGTTACATCTTTGTTTATGTGCTGGTTGACATTCATTTGTTTTTGTTTTTCTGTTACCGTGTCAATGTTTACATTTTATTAACATCGGACTAATTAAAACATATTTGTCCCTTGTTTTGTTGTATGGAAATTTGTAACGCTTTGGTAATTCGTCATTTCAATGCTCTCTCTATTATCGTTTTTGGAATCTCGCTGACGTATTATAATTGTCAAATAAATTTTAGCGTACATTTTGTTAGCATTAAGGTTAAAAGGCCATTTAAGTAATGATTCTTTATCTGACTTCGTTCGACCTTTCATACAGAATGATACAAAGATATTAAAAATAATTCCGCCTAATAAACTACTTGTATTGGTTGGGTGGTTGGGGTCAAAGCAATCAAACCTCAGTCGATTAGTCGAGCTAGGTGCTTGCAATTGAAGAGTAACTGCCCATTTCCTCAATGATGACTGTCCCCAGTACATGGCCCTCTTTAACATCAACAATAGCAGTTCATACTGGAACTACTTGTATGTTTAGTTTAGTATTCATCTTTGAAGATAAGATTAAATTCCGAGTATGACATCAATGAGGCTTTCAACAGCAATTTATCAATTCCGAGTTGGTCCTGATATCGGCGAGTTAAGTGTCTCTTTGTAAGAGGATCTGAATGGTGATTATTGATGATTAAGAGGTCGGTCAGTTATCGATGTCCATGTAAATTGAGATGCAGCATCAGGTCATCAGCGACCGTAATTATGATATCAAATGTAAGAGATATTATGCGGTTTCTCACTTACACAAGTACATATTAATTAACAGTTTGTTTATCAATATTTCATTACAGAAGATGGCATTCATTTAGCATTTACGTACTCAAAATATTTTAGATGAAAGTTAAATATTTTCTGTGGGATATATCTATATTAGATTTGTTGAAAATCTAATTGAGATTGATCTATATCACTGTGAAGTTTATTAATAATTAATACAGAGCAGATTGTTACTTGATTTATTTGTTCGGGACAGAGTGACAGCGCCAAAAGCTAAATTGATCGAGTACTCTTTGAGAGTGAAAAAATATGAAACTTCCCAAATGTAACAAGCATTTATTCCTGTGCGTGCTTTTAAAATTAAAATATATATATATATATATATATATATATATATATATATATATATACAGTAGATATTTCCTATCAAAATTCTTACAGCATAATTAATTAAAGTTACGAAGTTAACAGTAACAGCAGACAGACACACGAGACGTGATTCATTCATGATTCACATTGCGTATTCGTGACACTAATACATAACAGTGTCTGGGGGTGTATCCACTAGATAGAAACAGCAAATATTTTCCAAAATATTTTAACTAGATCTCTATATATTGTAATCATTCTGCACGTACAAACAATAATTTTATATATATCTCACGCTCTTGTTAATACTGACGAAATCATGACGACATCTGCCGCTGAGAGCAATCGTCCATTCTCATTACCATTGTCAAATTATTTTACGTCCGTACCCATTATATCATGATTCTGATCAAATTAAATAAATCCGTGCCCCTACTACGTGTCCATTGACAAATTTTTGTCGGTTTCAACAACATTACTCAGAAATCTTTGCTCAGATTTGTATTAATAGTAGTAGGATTAAAATTATCAACTGTGTTCAATGTGGTGATGCAAACTTGTGGTAATAATGTAAATTCAATGGACATTCAATTATAGTCTTAATGCAACACGTAATAGAGCTTAATTCATATCATAAAGACATGTATGTTATTGTCACTTTATTGTATTGATGATTTCCTCTGCTAAGGTCACCACGTGGTGATAATTGATGACGTCATAACAATAAATTGCTATATTGAACTAGATAGTAAGACTACAGCGCTGAAATCGCTTTATTGCTTACAAATGATCATATACTGTACACTTATTTGACGTTTATTTAATACTAATACACAAATATTTTATTATTATTATATATGATTTTCTTTTCTACTATTTTCTCAAAACAATTTTTTATCTTTTCGTCTTGATTTTCTAATTACAATTACATTGTGTTCGTGTACTTTCGTCGTCAGTAAGCCAGGATTCGATAAAGTATCTTTTAGAAATCATAAGCATTATCACTTATTTTAGTACATAACGACTTAAAATTAAGCTAAAACCGCAGTAAGCAGCTAATATGTCTGTAAACATGATTAGTGGAACCAAAACATTAAGGCTGAATCAAACTAGTGTGAAACAATGTTCCATGTCGATAATTAAAATAAATTACATGATTTCTTATAAGACATTTTTATAAACTGCACGTGTAATGTTACTATATTTTTATATAAAAATATCAAGTAGGTATATTTAATGATTGGAGTGATCTTATAAAACTTGATCAGCAATTATTTGCATTACGAATGAAACTAAAATGTAAGAGGTATTATCATTTAATAGTATAGTGTGTATCTGCCTTAATAGTTGCTCGTGATCTTATTTGTATGTCAAACTCCAGGTGGGTAAAGAGGTGGCTCATCCAGGTGTAATGAACGAATGGGACAGCACGCAGGAGAAGAAATACTACACCTACTACCAGTGGGTCTGCTTTGTACTGTTCTTCCAGGTCAGTGACTTATTATTATTATATTACACATACGAGAACTCAGTATGTGTGTGTGTGTGTGTGTGTGTGTGTGTGTGTGTGTGAGTGAGTGTGTATGAGTGTGTATTTTTTGTCTTAACCACGTTAATTTTATAATACTTTTTTTATAAGAGGAATTATAATGTTTTTTTCTATTAATAAAAACTACTAATGTTTTTTTCTATTACTTCAACTTAATATTTATTAAATATAGTTTTACAAGTGTTACGTCTAATATTTAAATAGCTTTATTTTATTCGCTATATATTATTTTCTGTTGATATAATACGGAATAAGGCTAACCAGAGCTCAGACATAACGGGGTCTAGACGACTCTGTAAAACTTGACCTACTGACACACGTTGAACGTTACTTGTCTATATGAGATCACCTTTGTGTCTTTATAAGGTACAAACAGATTTTAATGGAACGCCCTTCCATATATAGCTACTATACTATTTAGGTCTCTATGATTAAATATGTTATTCAACTATTTTTAGAACATACGAATATTATGAGTGTTAAACTATAAAAGGTTTATACAGTTCAATAAAATTATTTTACCATTGAAAATAAAGCGTATTTCACACAGGCAGGTCGAGTAAATCTTTGTTTTATATAAACTATTTACTTCCAGGCGATAATGTGTTACACGCCTAAGTATCTATGGGATGCGTTCGAGGGGGGGCTCTTACGGACTATAGTGATGGGACTCAACATAGGGGTCTGTCACGCCGAGGAGAAGGAGAAGAAGAAAGACATGATCATCAGCTACCTCATCAGACACGAGAGGGTGAGTGATAGATTGCACTTAGACTTGTGTGATAGTGAGTCTGTAAAAATGATTCTTATTGATACAATTACCTCGAACGAAATAATCTTAGATTATCCTTGGTATCTATACATTTAATTTGTGTGTGTTTTGTTTGCGTTTAGATTTTAAATAAAATATTAGGAAGTGACTTTTATATCATAATAAAAATACTTGGTAAAAATTGCGCGAAAAGCAAACGTGGAATTTAATACAGTCGAAGTTCAAATGGTAAATATATGTACTGCTCATGTTTTATATAAAACGTATGAGAAATACATTAAAGAATTTATAATAAACATTACACATGTAGTATGACTTTGATACACACATACACGTCAATACGTGAAAATGACTCAATGTGTGCATTGTCATTAAATGTCACACAATAATATGACTATTCTAGTATTGAATTTAAAATAATCAAGTAATTATGGTTTTATATCGGTCATTGGATGATATATAGTAAATAATAATTATGTGTTAAAATATCAAAATTAACACTTTGATGAGAAATTAAAAAGAAAGCTTTGAAAAATGCCTTCATATAATCGTTTATTAGTACCGGAGTGTTTACGAGAGTTGTGTTTAAAGTGAAACTATAGATTCAGAGCTGTTTAAAACGACCATTAATATTGTTACATCTTAATGACTAAAAGCTTTTTCAAATGTATAAAAGCACGCCACTTAATTGTCGAGTACTCGCGATATATCCATATAGTTTACATATATTTTTAGTATGAAAGAAATCATTACAAAAATATTTGATAAAATACAAATATTATTTTTTTTAGATATATTTATATAATGAGAAATTTATATAGAGTATATATTGCTTAGGGCTGATTTTCGAATCTTGTTTTTGTAGGTCGATTTTCGACATTTACTTTGAATTTAATCTTTAATTCTATTCCTTAGTCCAATACTCTGATGCTAGAAACAGGATTATTGAATAAAATATTTTTAAAAAGCCTCTTTATATATTTATTATAGTGCTTTAATATTTTTATTATAGAACGTATATAAAAGTGATGTTATTTGTCGCTTCATGCAATAAGTTTCCAACGCGCGGATGTGTCCACTAGCACGGGACGATATTGGAATATAAATCATGTCTGGGAACTTACTTCGTGTGTTGGGTCATTAATAAGTCAGCAGTTCTAGATGTGGATGTTAGAAAATAAAAATGCTGCCGGCAGTATATAATATTTAAAGTAATTTAACATTAAAAAACCACTTGGTAGTGATTTATCTATTATTATTTATGGTTATACTAAACCTGTTTAATGATAATCTTTATCTGTGCTTGGTTTTTTTGTCCAAGTTGTATAAGCAACAAAAACGTATCTGGATGAACGGAATTGATCTGTTCCTAATTTTTTGTTCCCGGTCATTGGCCACATTACATCGTTACGTAATGTTCACTGTATTGTTACAATTTGGATCGTCTCGTATAGATTACGAGTATGCGATAAAGAGAGATGAAACCTCTCAGCATTCAATGGATTCACCGGTAGGTGCCGGGTCTATCGTTGCAGGGAGAGGAGCTTCAACAGTGTCTGGGACTTGCGACCCAGGTGTAGGTTTTTGGCCCCTATCTAACGCGTGTTAAACGCTCACCTCAGCTGTCCAAGCTCCTACTTAAACCAATTTGAAAAGAACCTACCTACTAGGGCTGCCTTTGAAGGACTTTCTCAGAAATATTGTAATATTGTAATCAATATGAACATAAATTTTTTAATTTGTCAACCTGCTATTATTCAGGAATGTCATTAATATAATGACACGGCTTTTCCGTATTTATCGATCTCCCAACAGCCGGTACTGAGTCAGCGTAATTGGTTTCGGTTCCCAGAAATACACCCTATCAAGGTCTTCTGCGACAGTTGGTTGTAATTGAAATCAAGACACTTTTACGTCTTTACATTAAACTTTAAAGTTGTCTGTCACACTTGTTTAGAAATCGCGTTTTTAGGAAGCTCTTGTTTTATTTTGTATTGTCACAGTTGGATTGTTAAATGGGTCATTTATTACGACAGTTTTGTATAAATAAAAAAACGTTGCTCTTAAATCTATTTATGTTTCATATAATTTCTTTATTCACGAGAATTCCTTGTTTTAAAGTGATTCCCACTTGTTATATTTACTAAACTCCCTTCTACATGTTATCATAGATACTTATTCAAACGATATATAGTTGTTGTAGTACGTGCTTACTCAAGCCTGAAGCCGCCATTCAAGAGCCACAAGTGGCCACGTGGTGTGTCATTGTCTTCACAGGTTTTGATATTTCGTTTCTATATTTGACCTCTTCACTGAATTTCCTTTTGTTCTATTCGTTTCTAAAGTTGAACTTGAAATTCTGTTGTTATTTTCAAGTGTCATTGTATTTGTCTACACTTAATCATGTAGAGCTCTATTTATATTCGTATTGTTCTTAATCGAGGTTCTACATATATTAATAAGTAACTTCACCAGCCAGCTCCGTGTTTCTTGTATTGGGTTGTGTCTTTCTGGTATAACGGTACTTGACGCGTTCGTCAGAACTCGTGTCAACGCACTCCAAGGAATTGATTTAATGATGCCAATCATTTCCTCGTCCTTAGCTATTATTATTAACCAAGCTGTACATATATATAATTTCTTTCTATGCATAGAAATTTTTTCCTCTTCAATTATTTCTGTTGTCTTTAGATGACAGATAAAAACCGAAAAATATTAAACATATTTTAGTGTATCATGTCCAAATACTGTGTAATTTTTTTTCTTTCAATAAATAATGAATACGTATTCAAATTTCTTAACAACTTTTGGCGTTAAAGCGTGACCTTATAAAAAAAAACTGTATCACGTTGTCAAGTGTTGTTCCATATTAAATTCTGAGACGCCTCCAGTGTCCATGGTAAAACGATCGATGTATTTAAATGAAGTATTGTCTTACGTATATTGAGATTTGAGACCACGTGTCACTTGACCCTCACGTTGTATGTACAGACGGACAAATGGGCATTTTTTTATAATCACTGGAAGCGGCGAATAACAGAGCTTGAATAACATATTGCTGACATGTGGTGGATTGAAGATTAATTCCATATTGTAAAATTCGTATCGGTTATATGAATGTAAAATAACTTCTTTAAAAACTATGATCAACTCTCAGTTGTCTCTCAGTGAAAGTACGCTAACATAAAACTTGTTCAAACGAGCTACAGCGTTAATGAGGTTTCCGAATCTGGGTGTTTATTTTTTCACACAGATTCAGGTCTTAGAGTGACTAGCTATAATTACTGACTTTACCTGATTATTTGTGAATTTTAAAATAGTAACAGTTATCAGAAAACACGTTTTGTTTACCATCTCGTCCCAACATCTGTCTCAAATCTGTCATGGTTGGACCTTACGCTATATGTGGTCTAAAAAATATCTGAGCAATTAAATTGTTAATATATTTACCCTGTAAATTTTGTATTGAACGTATTTATGAATTATTATTACGTATTTTTTTGGTATTCCTATTTACTTGTAGTAAAATTAAAAATGAATTTACTATAACAGGCGTTTGATAAAACTATAATTTCATAACTAAGTTGATAAAGCAACTGCTTTGTTGATATTTAAATCACCAAACACTTAATTTAAAATAAAATTAGCCACTTATGGATGATACGGGTTGTATACGTGTCTTACGAAGAACAAATAGCGTCGGTGTCCCGCAAGCACTTAATGGACCCCCAACTTCTTAACAATTCAGATATCCCCATATCAGAGCGGGCCACTTGATACAAGGACTGGGGAACATTTGTAAAGCTATATATAGGATGTTTAAATAAAATTAGACGAAGGGAGTTAGTGAAACTTCAACAATATTACGTTACAAAACAGAACTAAACTAGAACAGTAATAAAACGTCCATAAAATATTTCTGATGTTGCATAATATAACAATAAATAAAAATTAACACGAAAATTATTATTCAATTAAACGAAAATTAGTATTAACAGTAATTGTAAATAACAATAGCTTGTCTCCAAAGCGTCAACGCGTGAGGCGGTCATGCAAATGGCAGATGATTGCGGGCTACATTCATGTTGCATGCAACAATGCGGCGTGGATAACCTCGGTTGAATTATTACCTTTTACTTGGCGATGTCACATTCATCTATCGATGGGGAATTGATGGTAGCGTTTTGTATGACATCGAGGAATAATCTGTCTTTGTAGCTCTGAAATTGCACAGCCTTGAAGGAATCGTTTGTTATAAGTAGTTGTAAAATAATTGTTTTGCTAGTAGCTGGAGATTAATCTTAATTATTGACGCTTATTTTATATAAACCCTAAAAGATTTTTGGACTTTTCTTTTCCCAAAAAAAATTCGTGTTTTTTATATGTGTATAAATAATCTAGGTATGTATATATTTTTTAACCTAGGGACCTAAAGATCTATTATTATTCATATGAAAGCAACGGCCTTACTATGTATTTGTATTAAATGATTCTTTATGATAATTCGTAGAATATTCTGTATCAAAAGCTGCGAACAAAAATAATAGGTAATATCACGGTTATAATTGTTAGAGGGGAAGTGCAAAAAAAGCCAGGTGCTGTGACAAAGAACACGCATCTGCCGGGAGACGTGTCACAAAATATAATAAGATCTCTCAATCTATACATATGCTATGACACGAGGGTCATTCACGTCTGGTCTATGGGAATAGAACTTTGATGTTACCGATCAAAGCCGTTGTACTTGGGACAAAAAACATATATTTTTCGTTCTTAAATTGCTTACGAGTTTTTTGTCTGATCTTTGTTTTAATTTGAACACGTTATTACAGAAATTTCAAGTTATTGTAATGGAACAGTTAAAAACAGTTTAATATTAATCTGCCAAATACTTTGAACGTGTGAAGTTTGTTTCATAGTTCCATCCCATTCAAGGTGAATTTGACAAAAAACTGATTTTCTGTATATACAGCTGTTTTATTTGTGTTTTTATTAGTTTTTCGAAGGTGATCTGTTATTCATTGTTTTCAGCTAGATTCATCTTTTATTAATTCTCATGCAAACTCGTTTATAAATGTTTAATTCACACTTTGTCTATTATAGAAAGGAATATTATAGAAACAGCTTAAATATGAAAGATTTCTTTATATTTAAATTAAAAAACGTGATCAAATAAGATCTTATGAAAAAAAATATGAAAAAATAGTAATAGATTTATCAAATAAAGATTATTATACTAAACACGATCATTCAACTTCTACACAATACTACATATTGTATAACAAGTTCTCATGTATTAATATAAATATTTAGTTAAGTTCAAAGACGAACATAGCCGTGTTATGATAACACTGAAACCTTGAACATACTACTACAGATAAGAAAGTCAAATCAGATCATTATACGCTACATCAGAAAATATATAAATATATATGTATGTATAATTGAACGTCCTTTGGCATCTTGAATTCTGGTACAATCTAGAAATGCTAAAGATAACTTACAAAGGCTCCAAAAACAAAGACCCTTTCATGTTTGAAACGGTTCTTATGTCCCCTTGTTATCTATATGTGGGTCTACCACCTACTTACAGTCCTGGTGGTAAGATTGGAATGTCAATGATAATACTGTTCATTACAGTCATACATAAAAATGTATGAATACAAACAGAACTTGATGAATAATGATCATTGAGAAATGAGAACTTCAGTCGCCTATATTATAAATGCGAAAGTAACTCTGTCTGTCTGTCTGTCTGTTACGCTTTCACGCCTAAACCACTGAACTGATTTTAATGAAATTTGGTACAGATATAGAGTTGACCTCGAGAAAGAACATTGGATAGTTTTTATCCCAGACTTTTAAAAAGTTCTCTTGGAAACGCGATATAACCGAACTCCAGGCGAAGCTACGTGCAGAAAGCTAGTTTACAATATTTGGGAATTAGAAATTTTATTTTATATAGTACTCTTTCTACTTTTCCGATTAATGCTATTTTATTTTCTTCTAACAGTAAATAATAGAGTAGTAGTTATAGTAGAGCAGAAGTCTTAGTAGTAAAGTCTTTTAGGGTTCATAATATTCCCAAGCGTTTATTGTAATCATATAATTATATAATATAGCAGAAATCATGTAACATTTGTCACAATTGATTAACCCTCGCTACATTAGTTTGGCATTGTAATGTTCTATTGTTGATAGCTCCCTACTCAGATGTGGGTAATGTACATGATATAAAATCATAAATTATTGATTATTTCAAGTTCAATACTGGAATGGAAATATTATTGTGTGACATTTAGCGACAATACATTGATTGATTTTCACGGATTGACTTATTAAATTTGTGTGTCAAAGTCTTTGTAGTGTGTAGTCTATTACAATGTGTACATTTGTTTATGTTATGTATTATTTATTTATTTTTGGATTTTATAACAAATTTCTTTATTCATACAAACTGTATTGCAGTTGATATTTTCGCCATAAGTAAGCTCTATATCCATCTTTTGTTCCGGGTTATTTGGGTCCAATAGCATGAAAATAATTACTCAAACCATTTGTTTATTGTCCATTCTTTATATTTTAATGTCCATACATTTATGACAGGAGAAAAATCAGTTTAAAAAAACTAAATTCTCCTTCCAGACTCACAAGTTGTATGCTCTTCGATACTGGGGCTGCGAGTTACTATGTCTCGTGAATATAGTGATGCAACTCTGGATGATGGATTCCTTCTTCAATGGAGAGTTCTTCTCTTACGGCACCAGGGTATTGGGATACAGCGAGGTGCCGCAAGAAGAGAGGTTTGTGTCTTACAGATGAAACAGTTCATTGACCCTGACGTTCTGATGAAATTACCAAAATGCTGATTATTATACATAGGAATTGTTGTTAGAGTGTATAGTATTTTTTGAACAGTTCAATTATATTTACGGTTATATAAGTCGGTAAGAAGGGGCCACAGTTAACTTACGTATGAAAAACTAGGGCTATACAAAGAAGTGTCTCAATAAAACTAATATTTTTCGGATTTTACCTTCGCGTGTTTTACTATTGTAAAAACAATTTTTATGCACAAAACATGTTAATTTTTCCAGATACGATCCAATGATCTACGTGTTCCCTCGCGTCACCAAGTGCACGTTCCACAAGTTCGGTGCTTCAGGCAGCCTGCAGACTCACGACTCGCTCTGCATCCTGCCGCTGAACATCGTCAACGAGAAGACTTATATATTCCTTTGGTTCTGGTACATCATACTGGCCGTCATACTCGTGCTGCTGGTTATATACAGGTCAGTTGGACACATAAATATACAGGGTGACTGGTGAATTACTATCGATACTTGAGGACGTGATATTTGACGATCATATATGACAAAATAAAAATTAATATAACATAAATATTAATAAACTTCTAAGTAAAGTTAACCAAAAGTTATGTAATTAATTACGCATCGTGTGAACAACCTACAGATTAGGTATACACACACTCACACATACGCGTGCGGCGGCGTGGTGTTGTATCAGCACGCCGCCGCACGCGTCCATACTTGTCAACACTTTATTTATTTATACGGAAATTTTGTCAAAAATTAAGTGCCTATTTTTTTACATAATTCGAATGAGAATCATGTACCGAGTATTCTCCTTAAATATTGATAGTAATTCACCAGTCACCCTGTATAACGAATCTAATGTATATTGAAGTAAATGAAAAATTTCATCCTAAATTCTTTGCTGCTTACAGTCAATTCCTATCTTTCATATAATGTAGGTTAAATTTGCAGTTACGTTTTGTTCTATGATGATGGTTTATGGCTATCCATATGCTCATAACATTTTATGATCTTTCAATGGATAGAGAGTTTCAGATATCTACGAGGGGTGATAAACAGTTGTTGAACCATCGCTCCTTGTTATATAACAGAGCAACAAAAAAAATATAAACCAGTTGTAACAGTATAAAGAAATTTCTTTGGAAGTCTATAAATCAATTTAATTCATTCAAATTTGGAATTATCTCCTCTTTTAATTTTCTCAACGTTTTTTGTCGCCAAGCAAGCAAAGTTTCGATGACGCCAGAGAATTTTGAACTGCATACCAATAAACCATCAAAATACGTATCACATATACTAATAACGATTAAAATCTCCTGAATACTGCACGTATCTGGACATTACTTCCAGTATTTTGTACTAATTAATCTTAAAAATATTCTTATTAATCATTATCGTGTATTTTAATGAAAATGAAAAATAATTTATTATCAGCAATAACTCATTGTTAACAGGGAACACAATTACAAACATAACAATATTTTGCTGAAGTGATAATATGGCGCGATTTCCAGGGACGTCCACACTAAGCGAGCTTGGACATATATCATAATAGTACAAATAATATAATATATTTCCAGGTTAATAATAATCTTCGTGCCGTCCGTACGTCCCCGCCTGCTTCACGCCCGGTCCCGCACCATAGCGATGGAGTCGGCTCTCATCATCTCCCAGAGGACCGACGTCGGTGACTGGTGGCTCCTGTACATGCTGGCTAGGAATATGGACCCTCTTATATACAGGTTATACACATGTTTTGTGTGTGTGTGTGTGTGTGTGTGTTTGTGTACAAGGGAGGTGTGCATGTGTGCGTTATAAAGGAAGTAGGTTTCTTGTCGCAATATTTCGTAAAATGGACGTAGAAGACATTATTGACATTTTATACAATTTTGTTAAAAAATCGTGAGTTTAATAAAAATTATACATCTCACAAGAAGCTATTTGGTCTATGTGTGCGGATGAGAACATTAGTCTGAGACCTCTATAAGTTCATAAGTTAAATATACTCCGTGAACTGTGAATATGTAATAAAATGATATTTCAATTTCCAGGGAATTAATCTCCGAACTAATAAAACGTATGGGTGAGAAGACTGGTCCACGCGCGTGACGTCCCCCGCCCGGTCCGCGCGTCGCCGTCGTCGGCGACTGACCGCGGCCGTAATGACCTCGCACCCCCTGTATATACCCGGGTTAGTCCTTGTGGTACGTTCTGTATATAGTTCCAATTATATAAGTATTAATCTGACGTTCCAAATTCAAACTGCCACCCCCTCCACTTCAAAAACACTTCAAAGACGCTGTCTTTAAATTGTATAATTGGAAAGTACCATGATGCCGCCACTGTACTGCTACAGGATGTTAATATACATACAAATATTTTTCCTACTGATTCATATAAACAACGCGGTTCAAATTAATGTAATCAATGAATGACGATCAATTAGTGACAATACAATAAAATGATAGATTAAGAAGATATACGTAAGAGATTGCCATTAGCGATATACAGAAGGTTGTTTTGGTGGAATGAAGCGTGATTTTAGTATTCGAAGTTATGGAGCGATACAAGAACATTAATAAATATGTATTAATGATATAAGTCCAAGAACATCGTAATAAATCCTTGAAAATATCCAAAAGAAATGCCACAGATAAAAAATAAAATTAAAATCATTTATATGACAAAATAATTGTCATTTAAACAGGTATTAGCTTTTGTGGGTTGTATTTAGTTACGAATTTCAAATTTAAGGTACCTGATATTGCTCGAATGATTTTGCTTGTTGTTAACAATGTTGCCATTTTAAGACGTTTTATACTATTATTGTATACAATTGGCATTTTTACTAATTTTTGCGAATATATTTTAAATGTATCACTCGTATATTTAGAAATTCAGGGTTATAATCCCATCTCTTTTGGTGTGGTAAATTTGTGAATAAAAAAATTAAGTCTGAATAAAAAAATTCTAGCTCTTAAATGGCAACACTATCTAATTCCATATTTGGAATGGAGGCATTATAAACTTTTTTGTTTATTTTTTAAAGTTAGTGCCAATTTTCTAGCATGACATTTACCTCATTTTATTATAAACGTGGCAACGTCTGTGGTCGACGAGATTGCCAGAACATTGTTGGATCTGAAAATATTTTTTTTACAAGTATAAAAGACATTGTTTATCTCATTTATCATATCAATTTTATGTGAAATATTTTAGCCTATACCAGCGCTGCCATCTACTTGTATTTGTGCATTTTTGCACGCAGTTTAACATAGATGTTTCTGAACTGATTTCAAGTATAGACTGTAATACGCCTTATGTATATTTAAGTCTGTATACATTTCGTGACTTATACAAACTGATTTACATATTTTATTTTTATGATTGTGTAGTTGCGTGTTGTAGTTTTTTTGGTGTACTTGTATGTAATGATCTTATATTGTTATACAGTGGGTGGAAAGAAATAATTGTCTCTTTCTTTTATTATATAGAGTGAGCGAGACAGACATATTTGTCTAAAATACGTCTCAAATGTTAGCAATAAATGATTATTACGTATTATAATGTCGAGGCAGTATTGGCTCGTATCAGACACGTGTTCATTTCGCGCCTCTTTTTTTTGAGGTATTTTTCGATGTGATTTACAACAAATATTTTTAATGTTATTCAGATGTTGTTAAGTTTTTCTGTTCGTGTGCGAATGTGGTTTGATTGTGACGCGATGTTGCCATAACAAATGTATTAGCTTGCAACACTTGTCCTTGGATCTTTAGATATCACAGACTCAATAACGATCATCACATCAAGTCTAGTTAAGTATTGTATTGTACTGTTTTTTTGAACATCGATTATGGAGTGTACTATGGAACGTAAAAACCAATATTACCTTATGATTTATGGTGTAAGGTATTCCACTAGATATAGTCTAAGATCTGTCACGATCTGTGGTTTTAGTGTATATTGTGTAGTGAGCTCTTGGACGTCTCTCGGATATCATAAATCTTTAAAAAGCATCTCTATATCAAATTATTTAGTTCAAATTATGTAAATATTAAATATATGTCCATAGAAGAGGAATCCGTCGAAGATTACATATTTTTTTTTATATAAAAGATATATAAGTTTAAATTGTTTATTAATACAATTTTTAATACAGGCGAGGGCCATCCTTCCATACACTATCCAATAGCTCATTATACTTAGTCTAAGTTTAATATTTCGCATTTATATAATTTAAGTTCGGAATATTTTTGAATATATATTTTTCATGTATTGAAGTTTTTTTTAATACTTTATTTATTAAAGAGCTCTAACTATGAATTAAGTTATTTTATAAAGACATCTTAACAAATGTATGAACTTCGGTTGAAAGCGAATTATATAATTTTAATTTTTTTATTACCTTGTTTTATTATGCCTTTGAACCGTCCAGTCAACATTTTAACAACAATTTTTAATATTCCAGAAGACTAAAATATAAGTGTATTAATACTAATAAATTACAGAAAGGCGGTGTATGGCAATGTTTTTTACTTTTTATTGCTGTGTCATAAGAAATATTCTTAAAGTTTGTCGCAAAATTATAAGATATCTATATTAGAAACAAGATACATCTAGATTGTTATTTTCTTACAAACACGAATGTTCACATAGAGGTTTTCAAGTGCATTTCATTAATGTTTAAAAACAAATGAAAAGTATATAACATGAACAAATGTAATCGACCAGGCGCCACTAGCGCCGCCTTCTATTTAGTGTGACGGTTAGCGGAACTACTCGCTTCTTGCTCTCCTTATAAATAACTCATGTTTGGACATCGAGGTTGGCCTCGTGTTGTATACACAAAATATTTGTATGTGTGTGTGTCAAATCTTATGCATGTGTTATGTTGGAGATGAACTGCTTCTCGCAACACGATTCGTTTTAAAAGTCCTCGAAACTGTATCGTTGATTGTGAAGTTACTCTGTATTCTAATAGTACACTTTCAAAAAGTTTTTCGCTATTCTCTTACTTTTATAAGCGCAATTATAATTATTTTTCGGAACGGAAACGAAGATGAGTGTGTAAGTAAATTTAATATGATGCATCCTGTCCTCACTATACCAGTTCAGAGCACGCAGTCATTCCAGCTCGACACTTGATATTAACCAGATATACAATAAAAATTACAACTCGTTTGTTTCATATAACTTTTACTTGTCAAGGCTCATAAATGCATATCCTATAGAAGTTGTTTACCAAAGTGATATTTTTTGGAATAAGCAGATCAACATAACAGATATTGAACATTATTTTTGTTGTTTATACAATTATAAAAATTGTTGACGTCCATTTGTTGAAGTTGTATCATATACATAAAAACTAGATGATAAGCATTAGGATGATAGAGTATTTTTCTTAATTAAAAAGCCAAAATGCAAAAGTTTGGGGGATATTTTTTGTGAACTATTTAAATCTCCTTTCAGCATTTACAAAGGAGCTTATTTTACTGCAATACTTTAGCTTCACGTAAATCCAAACCAACTTTGAGAATTAAAAATTTGTTTGCACATTATTTACTTACAATTAAAATCACTTTGATTATCACAAAGTGCAAAATGAAATTTTCATATTACCTGTCGTTGATGCGAACAGAAGCAGATAATTCTATTTAAACCATTTGCAGCACAATCTAGCAGACAGATCAACTCATATATCGTCGGTTAAACGAGATTTTTTTGTTGGGAAATGCAAAACTTTAGAGCTGCCAAATTGACTACTAGTGAACTTTCCCTGTTTGAAAATTGCTCTAAAGAGTTTTACTCTGACATAGTGTTTTTTGGAGCTTTTCAGTGTCGATACAGAAAAGGAGAAAAGAGAGGACGGTTAAATCTTGCCAGGAACTTGCCAATGATAGCTCATTGATCATCTGATAGCTCAGGTGTTTACTAGGATGATAACAGAGAATATCTAAATTGTATATGGTTTCCCAGACCTACTTACAGGTTTTCCCACAAAAGATCTGTAGACGTTTTCAATGGCACTGTCGGCCATGACCCAGACTGAGAGGTGTGTGATATCGAAGTTGGTTATTGGATGTGTTAAACCTCATACTGGAAAGTGAGTCAGGAAGCATTTAACTGACACTCTTACGATCTTCTTAGGACTACGCCTGAACAGATATTTCCTTGTTCTGATAAGCAGCGACGCACCGTGTGGTATTTAGCCTCAAAAGTTGGCCAAAAATATTTTTTGTTACAGGAAGTTAGATATACACTTATTATTTGATTTTACATAAAAATAAAATAAAAACAAACGTTTTTTATGTAAATAATTATTTATTCATCATCACTGCTATCATCTATATATATAAAATGAATTGGTGTTCTTTAGTCTCACTAAAACTCGAGAACGGCTGAACGGATTTATCTTAACTTAGTCTTGAAATGTTCGTGGTGGTTCAAGGAAGGTGTAAAAGCTGAAAAAATTGATTCATTTTCGGGAAAACCCTATAAACAGCCCTTTTCTATTTCTCATACAAACGTGTTTTTTTTAATATAAGATTTGACAACTACAACAACTGTCGCACTTCAAAACACGGAAATTTATGGCTTAAAGGGAAACTCCAAAAATATAAATAAAAAAACGTATCAGATATTTTTTGATTATAGAGCGATACGAAGTTCGCCGGGTCTTCTAGTCTAAAATATTAATATTTGTAATATCAGTTTCACATAATAAATTAATAACATCTGACGATATTTTCTTCTTTTTTCTACTTGAGCTACCCCTCATACCAGTTATCAAAGGATCAGAGGTCAACAAAAGTCGGTTTAGGACGTCCATGTTGCACTCTACTCGCGAGAACTTTCTTGTGAAGTTCAGCCTGAAAAGACCTAATGTTTTTGTTACGAGCTTCTGCAGCTTCTTCGGATAGCTGGTCGATTGGGAGTATTGCTTCCTTGATGACAGCTGCTTCATGTCGAAGAATTTTGTGTAATGTCGGGGTCATGGGGTAAAATGTATAAAGTGTGACATATACATAGTTCAGCAGTTTTTTGGCAATATTTTCCAAATTTTGCAACATTTATTTTCATACCAGAACATAATGCATCCAGAATGACCTTTAGCCGATAAATCAAACATTTATCCACCCCTGTTATTTCTGCTGAAATTTCATACTGCTCGAAAAATCTCCTACTTGTATTACCATTTGTATTTCCAAAATTAGTTCAGTTCTGGGCATGTCAACTAAAAGTCCAAGTTTTTCTTTAAATTTATTTTGAATTTCTTTTTTTTATCTTCCACTATTTGTTTCTCCTCAGCAGAAAGCCGAAAGTGCCATTTTTTTATAGGCAACCTATATGCCACATGTAGCATCGTCTCAAAAAAACGTATTCTAGCATGTAATAACGATAGCCAGAGATAGGTGGTATTTTTTTCTTCGAATCTCTTTCTCAGTTTGCGAGATGTCAACCATTTTTGTTTGAATTGGTGTTTTATAATTGATAGTTTGTGCTTTATATCTGTTATTTTTAGATCGTCTTGAGAGTAGCCTTTAAACAATTCAATCTCCATAAATTTAAGTTTTTCATTAAATGTTGACCCCATTGATTTTTGGGCAATGTCATACAAGTCATTCCGAGTCATAATCTTCATACCAGAATGTCCTATAACAATTAAAACGAACAATATTAAATATTATTTTTTTATCAAACATTGTACTTCACTACAAAAAAATTAACCAAAAAAAAAGGTGCGGTTTCGTGCGGCTACTTTTCTTTTAAGTAGCTAATAGACTAAATTGATCATATTATGACATAGTTTTCAATGCTTAGAAATGTTCAGAAACATAACAAAACCCTTTTTGAAATAATAAATTATATATTTTTATAACAGTTAGTTACGTCTAGATTGTCGGCTATAAATATCAAAATCTACAATATATTTGACAAAACTATGTTATAAAATAGAAAGTACATACCTGGAATAGTGCAATCCATCACAAAAACCAATACTAAACCACTTCACTTAACAGTAATAAGCGTTTGAAAACAACAAAATGAGAGCGTATCGAAAAATCACACGTCTGGCATAAGCGAGCTGTAACTTCTGAGGGACCGCCCGATGTGCTGAACGACGCTAGCGCTGCACTTTTTTTACCATTGGGTGCAGTGACTAATTAGCTTTTAGGCTAGTAACAACACTAGATAGATAACGGAAAATTAAAAAAACCATTTTTGGCCAGCTTTTGAGGCTAAATACCACACTGTGCGACGCGAGGTAGGTCCTAATGAGAAGCCCAGTAATGTACAGATTCCTCTTTTTGAAGCCGAATCAGAAACTAGTTAAAACGTGGTAGGGGTTTGGCGATTGTGATTACTAATACAGAAGACAGAAGTAGTTTATTTGAAATTTGTTAGTATCGTCTATAATATTTTATTAATAATATAACATCCCGTTATTATTATTTGCAGGCGATAAAGAAAAGATTTTACAAAACAACAATGTATATCATGATAAGTCTATGAAAGCATTGCTCTTTCTTGGCTGTAGTATCGACTTGTGAATATTTTATTAATATTTTTCTCAAAATGTATTGCTAGAAAATCTTTATTCAGTACACATCTGGCAAACAACACTTTTTGTTCTTAATAATTCACATTCCTTTAAACCTATTCCAAGCGTTTTTCGAGTGTATCACTTAAGTAGAAAAACTTGAATTAGTGATTTACTTTTACATGGTAACTTCTTACCGAAATCTTAGATTACATTTCTTAACACGTAACTCTCATTGAGCATTTATCAGAATCCTTTGTAACTGTTTCAAATGTCAATATTGAATAAACTGGCACCCGAATTACGCACATGGCACCGCAGATACCACTGTTATTCTCAAGCTTTAATTAATATTTCTCTGATTTCATATCATTTTTCATTTACTATTGACATATTTATATGTGCAGAAGTTAAACATAAAGGTAGCTTAGAAATTATAATAGCAATATGATGATTAGTGTCTAGAAAAACTATTATTAAATCTATTGAAAGAGTTTGGATCTCATAGTAAGGAATATTTAAGGAAATGTAATGTTATTTATGAATGTGATATCTCAGAGACAGTTAATTCAGTTCAAATGTAGTCATAGGTTATCTGTCACTGATAAATTTTGAAAGGTCGAGTAACAAACACGATATATAAAATATAATCGCGGATACAATTTTATGGTTACAAAATATGTATAAGCTATTTGGTTTGGTGTACAGAAATAAGAAAAGAATATAATTGTGTACTTTATTTAATAGTAAAGTTTCCTTGATCACTAGCACTTTATTTTCGGACAGCATGCAGGGTAGGGTTTTGACTTGTCCTCCACAATCTTACACGGCGGAGATGTGGCCACCGCGCCGCAGCTGAAATTTGTAATAACAAAATATATACTTCGTACATAATAAACTATAAGAAGAAGATACTATGTATATAACATGTAAAGTATATATCTAACTAGTTTTTGTCTGCTACTTCGTCCGTGTTAATTTCAGAATTAGTAACATATGTATAGCTGACCGAGCGAACTTTATTCACCCAAGAGGCCGTAAATAACCAGATATTGGAATTTATTAAGTTTTTTATTTCTGTTTCGATGGAACAGAATTAAATATCCTATGTCCGTCTCTTGGTTCTAAGCTATCTTTCCAGCAATTTTCAACCGTATCCTTACAGCTGTTCTTGAATTATAAATAGTGTAACTAACACAACTTCCTTTTATACAAATATATAGACTCTTCTTCATCTTCTTCTTCCTGGAAATTTCCCAGCTTTAGCCAGGTTCTGCTTTACATGTTGTGAATAGTTTTGGCTAGTTGTTTTATTTAAAAATCACATTAGTACTTGCCAGGATCGAACCCGCGCCCCCATACATGAGAGGCGGGCCTTTTAACCACTAGGCCACCACTGACTATACACATATACCTACACATATATAGATTATAAGGGTTCAAATACTCACGTGACATATGTGATCATAGTCTCTCCACATCTGTACTCCATACAACTTTTGTTATCTGGCGCCGCCTGTCCGAAAGGTATTACCTTGTCCAGTGCCTTAATATAACATCCGGGTTGCTTGCCTGGAAACGTATTAAGTTATTTTCGTATCTAACTGACTTCGGTATTTCTCTGAAAGTGGTATTTTACTCTACGTTTTGTAATATTTTGTAGTCTTACAAGTTTTTTTATTAGCGTTCTTTTACGTATTTAAAATAAATAATGGTATCGATATATATCTTATAAAGTTTTATTTCGTCCAATATTTTTTTGTGCATCAAAATGATGTATGTATTAATGCATGTATGGAATTAAATAATTCTTTAAGTTCAATCTATATATAAATAGTATAATATTAAGTCAATAAAGTACTTGGAATACACCCTTAACGAGTGTCCAAAGTTGTTATAAACACCCATTAGTTTAATTATTATATTGTTTTTATTCATAAGTAATTGGATTAATTTATAATTCGATTAATTTATGAACAATTACGGTGTTACTGTCAGTGTTGAAGTACACAATATAAACCAATATTAAGGATAAAAAGATCATTTAAATAAACCTCAATACGTAATATAATAGGTTTTGTTTTTGTATTTAACCACATTGTTTTGAATGTTTCAAGGTCCTTCTATAGATGTCTGTCTATTTTTATATTAACACAGTTATGTGAATTATATGTACATACATTAAATAAAAACTCCACACAGTTCACAGCATAGTTCTGTTGATCAATCACGACTATTCCAATTCCTTTAAATTAAATTCTAATTTTTGTATAACTTATTAAAAAAGAATTGCTCAACCGATGGTTGATTTTTGACCGATTGTTGAGTGTTGGCCGCTTTTCAAACAATTTTTTTTTTGAATTTAATGGAATTATTTAATGATAAATATTGCGTGTTCGATTTTAAGATGTTTTTTCTTTTAATGCTCTCAGTGGTAACTTGATAATGAAAAGACAATTTTTTTACATTAAAAGCATCATTTTCATATATTGTAATCACAGTATTGTAGGCACTTGAAATATAAAGACAAGCTGAATATACCGCTTCCGAAAACTTGTGAGGAAATAAATGTTATTTAGAAATATACCAAGGAAATTTTTTCTTTGGATATTATCTGTGGGTTTTTTATAAACTTTCTGTCATCAAAAAGTCCTAATGGTCAATGATATCAAATTTATTAGAGTTGTAGGTCATCTTGAATGTAAATAATTATAACCTAATCTGTGATATGGAACACTCATTATGTACATTATATATTATCTTCTTCTTCCTAGCAATTTCCCAGCTTTAGCCAGGGTTTGCCTTATACGTGAATAGTTTTGGCTAATTGTTTTAACGAACGGCCGCCTGCGTGACATCAACCCTCTTTGGAAATCAGCATTAATTAGTGATGTCTAAATATTCTTAGAAAGTACCTATGACTCGGTACCACATTGGTACTTGCCAGGAACGAACCCGCGCCCTCGTGCATGTGAGGTGGGCCTTTTAACCACTAGGCCACCCTGAGATTACATTATCTATACTAATATTATAAAGCTGAAGAGTTTGTTTGTTTGTTTGTTTGTTTGTTTGTTTGTTTGAAAGCGCTAATCTCCGAAACTACTGGTTCGAATTGAATAATTCTTTTTGTGTTGGATAGTCCAGTTATCGAGAAAGGCTGTGGGCTATATAACATCACCCTACGACCAATAGGAGCAAAGATATAGTGGTAAATGTGTAAAAAACGGGAGAAATTATTTCATCTTCGAAGCCTTCCGTTTTGTGCGCCGTGAAAACGGTTCAAGATACACAAAAAATATGTACTAAAGAATAATAGCTCTTTTAATGATCTAAAAAAAAAGTCCGCGACAGTATATGTCTATCTTTTAAGATTAACTCACAAAAACCGTTTTTATGGTACCTAATTTTGTCGAAATAATTTGTTTAAGTTTTATCAACATAATAATATTAATCTTTATTTAAATAAACAAATAAATATGTTGTTGGTTAAGAGTACTTCATTATTAATAAAAGAAAACATAGGTTTTATCCTGAAAATTCTACGGGAACTCGACCATTCCGAAAACCCCGCAAGAACGGGAACTATGTGGGAAAAACCAAAAATCTGTCGGAAGTCACTATTCCACGCGGACGAAGCCGCGACAAAAGCTAGTATATTATACATAGATTAAAATTCTTCATCATTTATGTACAATACATATTGTATCTTCCAGATTGTTTCTAGTCCCATTAACATCATAAAAGTGAACATTTGTAATGATGTATGATTGTATGCATCTCAATGATACTTCACAGTAATAAGCTTTGGCTGATATAAAAATAAACATTTATTTTTCAATCCATACCCGTACTGTTCATTAAGTTATAAAACTACTGTCCTCTACTGATGTTTAATATATCGAGTAGAAAATAATGTTTTGATTTCAATTAAGTTTCTTCTTTGTAATGATGTCAATATTTTAAAGTTGTTATTTTATGATAGTTTAAATAAGTAACAAGCTGATTTATTAATTAAACGAATCAATAAGGAGTTTTGTTTTCTCTTGTAGTAAAAAAAAAACATTTGACGTCGTACAGACTTCTTTGAAACCCGTTCAAGTCTTTACGAGTTTTGACTTTACATTGGATAAAACAAATAAACAACGTTTTTAATATACTTGAAACTATATGTACATATACAATGCTAATAATACAATCAATACTTCCCGGTAATCCTATATAAATATTTTCGTATACTAGTTAAATGTATTATTTTTGCAACAAAAAAACGTTCCTCGCGTCTCAGCGATCTCTTTTTATTTCAGCATGTATGTATTTGGCAACGGAATTCGTTCACTCTAAGATGCACTTTCTTATGCACGTTTCAAACGTTTGCCAAAGGATATATTATATGTATTTTTAACAACTAATTTATTCTGCTTTATATAGTATAAAAGCTTTGTTAAAGGAATATTCTACTCACTATATTTGTCAGGTTTCGGTTCTAGAGGTCCGATTGACAACGCCGCTAATGCGACACCGACTATCGCCAACAACACGACCGTCTGTCTCAACATGTTCACTGTGATTAGTTAAAGATCTATCTGGTTTTGTTTCATTTGAGTTACAGTATTTATAGATTTTATTCTTAAACCAGAGATGAGACATCGCGTAGGTAAAGGTATTATAACCATATAATTTAAAATATTTATGATTAAATATTTTCCTTGTATATATATATGATAAAAATAATAATGTTTTAGACTTGTTTTGAATTAATGTTGTATGATAAGATTAAGACATGCAAATTCCCAGCTCCCGGTCAGTCAGGCGAGGTTGGAGCGCCACTGGGTTTTTTTAGTAAACCGATAACCTTTTTCACGGTAGTCCCACATACCCTCCCTCCCTCGACGGAAAGGGGATTTTTTACCCAGTGCGCCGGAAAAAAAATTCAAATTTACATTTAATAATGACGTGGAATAAAAACGTATATTTATTAACATTCATTGAAATTGGCATTGGCTGATAAATTTTGCCTGTCCAGATATAAGAGACGAAACCTCTTAACCTTCAATGGATTCACCGTCCGGGTGCCGGGTCCATCGTTGCAGGGAGAGGAGCTTCAACAGTGCCTGGGACTTGCGACCCAGGAGTAGGTTTAAGGGGCCCCTATCTAACTCTAATATTTACTCTGTATAACCGGTTGCACATATAATATATATATATATATATATATATATATATATATATATATATATATATATATATATATATATAGTTTAAATGCGAGGTTTTGTTTGACTCAAAAGGAATATATTGTCCGTGTTTATTCTCAAATATTTACCTAAGGATTATGTCATTGCATTATTTACGTAGGGTGACAACCTGAGGTCCCAGGAGAACTATGAAACTTACTAATATGTATAATATTATAATAAGAATTACATATTAAAACTTATAACCTACGCCTAAGACTACATCATTGTCCTGATGTTAGGATAGCAATACCATTCCATAGCTTGTGTGGTATCAGGAATCTTCTGGTTCATACGACTCGGTGTTCACTCGTTACATGATATTTTATCCATACAAAGATGTTGGCCGGCCAATGTTCATTTATTTCTTAATGTGTAGCGCGTACGTAACAAAAATAACATTTTAAATGTTATTTTCACTGTTTCTTTGTATTTTTATTCCATTTATTTTTAATATATTAGACAAATTGTATTGACGGGTACATGATATTTAGTGTCACAATTGGGTTGCAATATTTGTATAGAATAGGAAATATGTACATATGAGTAAATGCGGGTGAAGTTGCAGATTATGGCTAGTATTAAAATATAATTAAAGGAAAACGTGATGCCAATAATTCAATACTTAACAAATGACGGACTGTTGACATAATTTATCATCGAAGCCGATGGAATTATCACGTGAGTTTGTACATCACGTTTTTCTTAGAACTCGTATTTTATTTATCTGAGCTTCTGGCAAGACTTTTTTCCTACTTAAGAATGTGCTTTACTTATGCATGGTTAAAATGTTAGCCAAACCATCTGCTGCACTATCTGGTACTTATTACTTATTAAAGATGATGTCACATATACTTTTTTCAGTAAATATTATATGTACTTTTACATATATTATTTTTATGTGTTATACATCGTATTTAATATACATGCGTTGTTTAAAAAAAGAGACGTCAGTATTGCTGAAGTTAATAATGTCACTTCTTTCAGTCGATTTTTTTTTCTCCTTTAAACTTACAAAATAGAAAAATTCTTTTCAAATATTAAGGAATTCAGAAAGTCTAAATATCGATCTACTAAAGGACTTTTTTCTGCTCATCATTGACTTGAGTAATTTATATTTCTACCATAAAAATTTTCGACAAAACATATTTTTGTAAACGTTGTCATCATCATCGCAGCCCACAATGATCCACTTCTGGACTTGGGCCTACTCATGATAGAAAGTAATGGCCTACTGCTGCCTCACTGACCAGACGGATTGGTAGAGGGTTTTCTAGAGTTTCCCCTATTTTACCTTATGTGTGTAGCACTCAGTCGCCTCTTACGATGTTCTGGGCTAGTGAAAGAGTGGTAACACTTTGTATTTTTATAGAATATATGTATTTAAAAAATATATGTTTTAATTGCAGCAGAATGATGTATTTAGTAGTACTATATTGTATTTTAAGATCCATTGACAGTCCTAATATCATAATACGTTTTCCTAGTTTATTTTGTTTAGGATCTGAATCATTAAATCTCTCTAAGTTATATATATTTTACAAATTAAATATCGTTCTATGTGACACGGATTGTCCTTTAATAAAAGAAAACTTAATAAAGTTGCAATATTTACTTTCAATTACTTAGTAATATTTTTGGTCTTATCGGTTATATGAAATATTTTAATATATTATCATATTCATTTTGTTATTTAAGTTTTATAATTTGTTATACAGTCAACGGCCCATTTGTTTTAAGTGGCTTCTTAAGCAAAGGTAATGAGAATTGTATTTTACTCGGTAAGTTTTTTCCTGAACTCAAAGTTACTAACTGGTATCTTACTGGATTATTAGATAGTTAACAACATTAGTATATTTATTAGTAGGAGGAAATTAATTAAAATTGTTTATATGTATTCGTAAAGTTGGTTATTTAAGCAAATACAAGAACACAGGAAGAAAAGATAGAAACTTCTGTTTCATTTATAAAAATCAAAACGATTCACGTCTTCATATTTTGATATTATAACTATCAAATCCCATAAGTTTACTTACAAGATAGGAACAAACGATATTCCCAGTTTCTAGTATTCAATGAATAATATCATGTTATTATATTAAAGCATCATCATCTGTTGTAAATATTGTTAATATGTCAACAAATAAATATATTTTTTTATCATAAAAGTGTAAAAGTAAACGTTTTATTGTCACATCCGCAATTTAACATCGTCTTAAATATCTCAGCGGGTCGTCTCGACACAGTGACAGATATAACTGACCGATGTTAAACCGTCACTAGATCAAGGATTAACGTTCAACTATTAGGTTAACTATCTGTTAAATGGGTTTATGTCAAAGAAACGCATTACATACATTATACATATCATCTGGTAGGTTTTAGTACAGCTCTTCTGACAAGGCATTATATGAAAATTATGTTGGCAAATATTTTATTTTCTCAATTTATTTATTATTTTTTTGTCAGATAATACTGGGCAGGGTCAGGATTTGAAATAAAGAGTTTTCATTTCAAGGTGTTTTGTTTTATAAGCGAGCTTTTTGACTAGAAACAAAAAGTAATATTAATCGCAAAAAAAATGTATGAGTAATATTATTTTTTCCATACGACTTATTTTATAAAGAATTGTAATATATTTGAATGTCTAAATATATTAAAAGGCATGTTATAAACAAAGTAAGGTTTTAATTATTTAACGATCCACTCAGTAAGCTATATTACAAATTTTTTTTTGTTGCCTAACATTGGCTGACAATCAACATTATTTATTTACCAAGATAATGAGAAACTTGAAGTATATAAATATATGCAAAAAGGGAAAAAAGATAAGGATTATATGTCAAAACATCTTTCTTGACCTCGACTTATTAAAAAAAAAAAGATTTAAAATCCTGTTGTCTACTTTGAATGGCTTATAATTATAAAAATAAATAAATAAAATAACAAGTAATATTTCCATTATTTATTCGTATCTTTCGTGGTAACTGTTTCCATTTGATCGCCCGTATCTTTGGCACAACATTTGGCGATTTACGTACAATACTGTTTTTAATTTAACATTTAAATGCATTCCGATTAATAAAAAGCAATGGATGTAAACTATTACAAAGAACACATCATCGCTTCGATGAATCTCCGATGTATTTCTGAGTAAAACTCCATTAAGGAAACTAAATTTATTGCTCAATGCAATCGTTTACATCCATTTTATGTTATAATTGACCAGAAAACACTCATGTTCGATATTTAGCTCCGTCTTTAAATAAATATAATAAAATAACAAACAAAATATCAGACGGAAATTTTATTCCATTCAAATGTAAATGATTAATAAATCTGTATGATTATTGATAGAACATATGCCAAGTTGTTGATAATTATTATTTTCCCTACAACATAAAAAAATATAGATTGTGACAAGGTGATGTTACACATTAAATAAAACATTTCTCACAATAAAATTTAATCAAACAATTTATTGACAGAGCTAAATATAAATAAGACGTCCCTTTAACAAATACAAAATCGAATGTACAATAAAAATTATAAAAAAATTTAAAAGGACAACATTATTAAACAAACACAAGTATTTTGACGGTGAATTAGTATTATTAAAAATTCAAAAAATCTATTGTCCTAGTGTCAATTAAAATTCATTTTGGAATAAATTCAAGATGTATAAATAGAGTGGCCTTACATCGGTACTAACATACATACACACTTGACGACAACCTCCAACGAGCAGGCGACCTGAGCTCCTTCCTCCTCTCATGAAAGGTCAACCTAATCCCCCCATAACTTCATCTAAATACTAAACATCCTGGAATTTCTTCGACACATGCCGAGTAACAAAAACCAATACAATCAAACAAGACAATAGATTCAATAAGATTTTTATTATTTTTTTTACAAATTTCAGTCGTTATCGGAAACGTACTTACTACTTTGAACACTTTAAATTATGTTAAATTTTTAGATAAAAGGAACTTACTTTACCAGTAAATTATATCTATATATGCTGATTACATTGCATTACGAGTACATCTATACATTACTGTTCAATTATTTCGCTAGTTAACGTAAAATGTCTTTTGGCGCGCAAAAGGTAAGTACGTCAGTTGAGTCCCACATCAAAGTCCAATGGTGGGTATTCTATGCCATTTTTTTCGAACCAGATTATAATTTATCACTAAGCCTACGATACTTAATAATTTCTTTAATTATTGCTTTAATTTCACTTTTTTTGGTCTGTCAAATCCTTGCTAGTGAGATATTGTGTAAAATTTTAACGATGTGCCATCTGTGTGCTTATTGCTTAATCTCGTACATTAGCTAGAGTAGAAAAAAACGAAGCATTCTGACAAACAGCAACTTGCTAGGAGCAGCGATACTACAAGTAAAAATACTTCTAAAAGTTGAACACTAGATATTCTAACGGGATAGCCGTCACTGTTGACATCAATAAGGCTTTTGATAGGATTCATCCTGAGATCACATTCTTAAACATTAAGTACAATCTATTATTGCATATTAGAACTCCACTCCAACGATCACGAACACCACCGTAACAAGTCTTTTACATAACATGCACTCCGCGTTATATCAAACAGTTCATCTCAGCAGATGACTTGGCCCGTTTTAATTTATCATACATACGAACAAAGGAAACGTCCCCTTTGTGTGTGCAGACATTTTTGAGTTCCAGCGCATTCAGACGGGCGGGTCCATGTCGCGCTGCAACGACGTCAGTCACGTGTGGAAGACCCACCCTGGGATCGGAGGTCACGCGTCCGGCACGCCGTGGATGTGGTGCTGGTAGTTGTGGTTCAACTTGTTGGCGAACTCGTGCATTATGTCTCGGAATATGACCGAGTCGAGATTCTCTCCGAGTATATACAGGAGGTACCAGTCGCCCATCTTGCTTCTCCTGACGATGGTGTCGACGTTGTCTCGTCTGACGAGTCGGAAGCGCATTCTCATCATGTAGACGCGCATTCGCGGTGAGAAGATGATGACCACTCGGTAGACGAGAGTGATGAAGGTCAGGAAACCGAGGATGACGAACCAGAACCAGAGGAAGACGTAGATCTTCTCATTGACCACGTTCAGGGGGAGGATGCAGAGCGCGTCGTGACGCTCCACTTCACCGGACGAACCGAATTTATTGAATAACGTACATTTGACCATTCTGTAACAAAATATCAATTAATGATTCCGTACCAAAAATATCAATGAAATGTAATATTACTATGTGAACTTTTACCTCGGAAAGATGTATATCATGGGGTCTATTCGGTCTTCCTGATCAGACTCCATGTAAGCGATGACGTCCAGTCCAAAAGTCATGAACTCACCGTCGAAGAAGCGATTCATGAGGAACATTTGCCCTGTTCAGAGAAAACGTTTCTTTATAATTATTCTTTATATAATCTGACCTAATGAATTGTCGCTTTTAAACATAGAAGCATATATATTAATTTGTATGTAATATGTATAAAACGGAAATAATTCAATCCTGGAGCCAGTTTATTATTCCGTCCGTATATCGTTGTTAGTGATCGCGTTTCCAATAACAAAAACAGTTCCCTTCAGCGTAACTGAAATTTGCTGCCTGTGCTATCCCTAGACGACTGTGGCCACGAAACCACGATGTTGACAATATATTGCGTATATTGATACAGACAAATTATGCTTTCATTTATTGATTAAAAAAACTAAGGTAGGATATGTTGCCAATGAAATATTAGAAGTATTTCAGCTTATCAATTTAACTTCGGAATTAAATGAAAAATACAGGTTTCGAAGCAAAATGGATTGCAATTAAAATATATACGTATTTTTATCAGTAACTTTTTTATTGGTTTTAATTTGTAAATATCATATAATATATAAATATATTAAAAACCGTAATTTTTGAGTGTTAGTAAGTAACCACAGTTTAATATAAATAATTTTTCCGCCTATCAAAAAAGTTTCGCTTGTTTAATGTCTTTATGTTTACACAAAGTAAAATATCAGGTCGCCATGTGTCGCGCGCGTCGCTCTGAATCGCCAAACGTAGCTCCGTGGCACATATTGAATTATATTACAAATACAGTTTGACTCTAACCTGCATCCCCTTGGACTTACCTGAATATATCTATGTTTAAATACTTGTAACTCACCTATAACGTTGATAAGAGCGAGCCCCTCGCACAGGTAGTATCTGTAGGCCCACCAGTTGTGATACCTCAGATTCTCCCACAGGTAGTCCAGGATGAGCTTCTTCTTGGTTTTTTTCTCGATCTCTGTGCACACACCAACATCCAGATCCATCATCAGCGCCCGGATCTTTCCCCCCTCCCAGGATTTCCACAGCCAGCGTGGCGCGTAGAACAGCATCGCCTGAAACAAATGCCATCACCTCAATATTGATATACGGAAGGCAATAATCATAAATGTGACTACAATCTAAAAATATAATCAGGCGTTCAGAAGCGTGGAGCTCGCTCGATGTATGTATCATAAAATAAATATTACTGCACTTTTGATTTTGAATGCATTACGAATAAATCCCGGCGGTCGATAAAACTGTATCACTTCCAATGATAGGTTGCTTTAAGCCTTTAAATACATTTATCAATACTTATCTTTATAACTCTAAACATAAAGTCGTATTTTCCTCAGATATGTATATCAATAAAAGTATTTTCTAGACAGCATCATAAAGCCTTTATGGATATGAAGCAGTGCTCTCATCGCTTACAGTTACCGTTGTTCATTTGAATATTGCTTTATCGACGGATTTATAAGGTACACACTCTAACGACGTATATTACAACTTATAAAACTCTGTATATATTATAATCTGTTTCAAGAGAACTAGCTAAGAGCAACGGTAAAAGGGTTTATGGCAGATTTAAGAACTGTCTTTGATAGTTAGGGAATATTAAAGTAATGAATAAACTTTTCAGATTAGATGTTTCAAATGGAAATGAAGGTTACATCCAGGAACATGATAAAAGTATAAAATTTAACGTCATCCCAACCAGTTGCGTACAAAGTAACGATTTGCAGCCTTCAGTCCGTGCAACAAGTGATCGATTCACGCTCCAACGAACCACGCAACTGGCTGGAAAGATAACAACTACGTCTCGCGGTGGGATTTCATAATATGAATACTTTTGGCCGACGTTCATAAACACTATGTGAATGTAGAACTAACAAAGTATTGTCAGATACATACATGTATGTATGCTCTGTCATAAAACTTTTACGATTTTTGAAGACATCTCAATTTTAGGTTCGCTTCGAAGTTCCCGTATCTATTTTGGTTGCTTTTAACTTCATTGATTTGTAATGATTTTGTATAAAAGAGATAAAATATGTTAATTAAAAATGCATATCAGCAAGGAAGAAAAAAGTAGAAGTAACTAAAAAAAAACAACTACTAGGAAGCAGAGTAGCATTTTCAGCAAAAAGTCTATGGGATTTAATTTTAAAAAAGGTGTAAGGAAAAAGAAATTTCTCAATAACAATTATGGAAGGTATAATGTAATGCTTTTTTGTATGCCGAGGGCTATTGCTTTTGAAGTGCATATAGTCTTAACGATTCTTTTTGTAGCTTTATCGCCTGGAACGTTTGATCCATAACTGTATTGCTTGTAAATCTCGCTTCATACAAGTTAATTAAACTTGCTCGAAATTGATTTCAGTGCTGAGTAGTTTCTGGCTGGCACAAATCCGTCTAGGAGTCATCTAAATTTGATTTATTCGTTGTAACTGCGTGCCACTTCATGGTCACCGTACATTGTAAGTCGATATCGCCTCAATAAGTAATAACCATTTATTAAGTGCAGATTTACGAGACCTGGCAACATTTGGTGATCGAAAATATGGCGTATAGTCATTACGTTTTATGAATAGCTTTTGGTTCCTCTCTTTTTTTCGGAAATTAATATCGTCACCTTGAAGGATGTGATTGAATAATGTAAAAATAAAAATGTATATTAGGGTGAATGAAAATATCCCAAAAGATTTTTAAACAAATTTATGATAATAGCAATAAAGTTTATATCTATATGCCTATTATTTGATTCTCTCATGATCGCTGTTTGACACTATTGATAAAGTTTAACAAATTGCAAGCATCCATTAAAATTATAATATTCTTTGTTTTTTCAGGTCGATACCTATATAATATACATTCATATATACTTTTTTCGGTATTTTATAACTTTATTAACTATATGATTTAATAAACAATTTCAAATGTCTTTTCTATGAAATACTATAAATTTGTATGTCTTAATATTAAATAATTTATGTATGTAAAAGGATGTTAAAAGTCTAACTGGACGTAAATTTAATTTTATTTATATATACTTTGTTATAACAATAGAGATTGAATATATTATATAATTCTCATTATTATTTATACTAGATTTTACCCGCGACTTCGTCTGTGTTATTTTAAGAATTGGTAATGTATAGCTGATCGGGCGAACTCTGTTCCTCCTTAAACACAGTAAATAAGAAGATTTCAACTATCGATCTATTCAAATTATCATCATTTTTTGTCTTTCGTATGAAATGTACCTATCCCATGTTCCTTTCCTGGTTTTAAGCTATCTCTCCACCAATTTTCAGCCAAGTTCATACAGCTCTTTTTCAGTTATAAATAGTGAAACTAACACAAATTTCTTTTATACGTAAACAATTCTCTAAAATCTTAACAAATCGAATATTCCCTTTATATTCAATATTGTTGATTACTTGACTATGGAGAATATTTTCCAAGATAAATAAGTATATTTTGATTTTCCGATCAACTATACCATAACTACGACCCAAATGAAAAAAATGCTTCTTTTTTCGTTTTATTAATACTTGAACTAATAGGAATATTTTATTTTACTTAAACAAAGTAAATTAATCATTAATAATAGTGATGCCATTGTTTAAATAAATGCTATTCACAATAAAAAATATATATTTTTGACAGACTTCTCGTTTAGTTTTGAAGCTTTTTGTTTTAAATTGAATTGAATGTTAACTAAAATGTAACTTCATATAAACACTTGAATCAATCGGCCGTATTTGGTTACATTTTTGTATTTCTGATCGTACTGTATATATATTTTTAAAGCTAACAATGTATACAGGATGTGTCCACGTCACGGCTTGGCGCAACTTATCGTTGAAATACGCGTGCCACCGCTTCCGACTCCTAGAATTATTGTTTCGATATTTGTAAAGCATTCAAAATTATATATAACGTTATATATATAGTTCTATTTTATAATATAAAACTGTCACTACGTGTATGTATGTGGCGGAAATTTTTACGATCCCAACCAGCTTTATATTGGAGATATAAATAAAAGTTATGATAGTTTTTTTTATGTCGTAAATTTTTGTATTATATACATAGATTTGTTAAAGTCTATATATACATTATAAATTAATTGTGTTACTAAAGAAATGCTTACAATTTTGTGGCGATAATGATTGCTGAATATGACTCAATAAGTTCTTATTAATATAAGTTTAATTGTATGATAATAATTCCATTAATATAATCTGATGGGCCGCAGCTAGTTCTTAATCATTTCGACTATCATCCCGTCCAACGCTCGTGCCAGAACTTCCGACTGGTCGAGTTATGACTGCGACGATTCATCGCAACACCGCCGCATGTATTATACAAACTCTCTGTTTAATTCTTATATATTAACTTTAAATATATCTAAATATTAAGTTTCTTTTAGACTTATCAGAGGTTATTTAGTATAAAAGTCGTTTTTTATATCGCGCTTGCAACTAATTAAGTTTTTTAACGATCCTTATTTGGTATGCGAACTCTCGGAGAAAAAACGTAATAAAAAATATAAAGAATGTTAGTGAAATATTCCGTACATGTTGTAAACTTACTAAACAGTCCCCTAGTAACTTGAGACTATAAAAAAATAGGTAACAGGATTTAAAAAACGCTTCTCGTGACGCACGACGTCCTTGTGGCGAGGCAACTTCATCACGTTCGCTACGAGTGGCCTGGCTCAGTGGAATGTCCCACAATACATTAGTGCATCAATTTAACACACAGAAATATATAGAACATGTGAAAAATGAGCTAAAAGAATAAATACTAACAATTGTATCACACTGTCTATATTAGTATAGTTTCCCACGGTTACATGCAAAATTATTTACCGCTTAATTAGCGGCGAGCGACTTGGGAGTCGATATTTCATCGGTTTACAGTTCGAGGCTGTAAATATACTTGACAACAATGTACCCGAGCTTATTGATAGTTACGTATCTGTTATGGCTTTGTGAGTGTATTTGAGATTTACGAATTGTTGTACAAGACGCTTACTTTAGATTAGTAATAGATTTAAATGCGTTGGCTGATTAGGGCAATGTTACGATCATTTGATAACATTTTAGACTCAAAAGAACTTGTATAAAGAGTCGTAAAAAAAATGGATAACATTATATTTTATGATTCAATTTAATTAACTTGGAATGATTGTTTTGCCGCGAATCAACGGTTTGCTATCCTTATCGAAAAAATATCATATCTAGGCACGTAAGCCGTAACGCATTTGTTTATCTAGGAAGCGTAACAGAAGGTAAATCTTATTCCGACTCGAGATTAACTGGTGTCAGAAGTTCTCACAGAATCAGAATATAATTCAGAAATCTTAGAATAAACAGAAATAGCCTGAGCCAATGCAAACCATCTGCGAGATAGCGTTGGATGATCGATAGTTGAACAGCGCTTATGGAAGTGGAACAGATCGCATATAGCTTCTGGAGATAATATATAGAAAATAACAGCAATGTTGGGATTGTTCATACATCATTTAAAAATAGACTGGCTTTTAATACATGTAGTTACATTGTTCGAAGCGAGAAGGGACGAAATTCAACATTCGTAATATATCGTACATTTATTGACATAATTTAAATTCTTTTGTAGTAAGGTGGAAAATTATTGAAGTTTAAAATGTAACAAATATATATTCTGCTGCTTTATACGCAGTACTCAAACAAGTACTAAAATAAATATTAAAATATTTTATTTATATTCATTAATTTTATTTTTATCTTATTTAATTGACTAATATTCGGTCGTTGAGAGCTGTTTGAGAATCCCAAAGCGCTATAAAGTAAGATTGATGTTACAGAGGCTGTTTAGTCGTTGTACATGCTATAGTTTTTTCTTAAAATTCATACTTTTTATCTATGTAGTAGTCAATGACTGAAAGCATGACCATATATTTGGATATAAAACCTTTTTGGTATAAAAAGATTATATACAACTAAAGGGGTCAGTGTTGTAAAACATTGAAAATATTAAAGTATTTTACCGAACTGTTTAATAACGTGTCAAACAAGAA